AGTTAATTTTTGTATATGGTGTAAGATAAGAGTCCAACTTCATTCTTTTACATGTGGATATCCAATTTTCCCAGCATTATTGTTGAAAAGACTGTCCTTTCCCCATTGAATGATCTTGGCACCCTTGTCAAAATTCATTTCGCTATATATGCAAGGGTTTATTTCTGGGCTGTCTATTCTAGTCCGTTGGTCCATATGTCTGTCCTTATGCCAGTTCGGCATGGCTTTTGTTGCTTGGCTTTGTAGCAAGTTTTGAAATCAAGAGTCCTCCAACTTTGTTCTTCTTTTTCAAGACTGTTTTGGCAGCTTGGAGTCCCTTGATATTCCATATGAATTTTAGGATGGATTTTTCTTTCTGTAAAAAGAGTTGTTGGGATTTTTTTAGGGATTTCATTGAATCTGTAGATCACTTTGGGCAGTATTTTCATTTTAACAATATCAGGTCTTCCAATCTATGAACACAGAATGTCTTTCCTTTTATTTATGTCTTCTTTAATTTCTTCCAGCAAAGCTTTGTAGTTTTCATTGCACATGTATTTCACCTCGTTGGTTAAATTTATTTCTAAATTATTCCTTGATTAAAAATATTCCTGAGCCAGCCCTGGTGGCCTAGTGGTTGAAGTTCAGCAAGCTCCACTTTGGGGGCCTGGATTCATTTCCCAGTCACAGAACCTCACCACTCATCAGTCAGTGGCCGTGCTGTGGCAGCGGCTCACATAGAAGAACTAGAAGGACTTACAACCAGGATATACAACCATATACTGGGGCTTTGGAGAGAAAAAAAAAAGAAGGAATATTGGCAACAGATGTTAGCTCAGAGCAAATCTTTCCCAGCAAACAACCCCCCCCCCAATATTCCTATTTATTCTTTATGATGCTATTATAAATGGAATTGTTTTCTTAATTTCCTTTAAAGGTTGTTCACAGGAATACAACTGATATTGTTTTGTTTTGTTTTTGCTGAGGAAGATTTACCCTGAGCTAACATCCACTGCCAATCTTCCTCTTTTTTTTGTTTGTGAGACGCCAACACAGCATGACCAGTAACAGACAAGTGGCGTAGGTGTGTGCCCAGGAACCAAACCCAGGCCGCCAGAGTGGAGCATGCCAAACTTAACCACTAGGCCGCTGGGGCTGGCCCAGGAATATAACTGATTTTTGTGTTGAATTTTTATCCTACCATTTTCCTGAAATCATTTATTAGCTCTAACAATTTTATTTGTATGGGGTCTTTAGGGTTTTCTACATAAAAGATAATATTATCTGTGAACAGAAACAATTTTGCTTCTTCCTTTCCAATTTGGATGCCTTTTACCTTTTTTCTTGCCTAATTCCTTTGGCTAGAACTTCCAATGCTGTGTTAAATAGGAGTGATGAAAGTGGGTATCCTTGTCTTGTTCCTGGTCTTAGGAGAAAAGGTTTCAGTCTTCTGCCATTGAGTATGATGTTAGTTGTGGGTTTTTCCTATGTGGTCTTTATCATGTTGAGGATATTCCCTTTTATTCCTACTTTGTTGAGCATTTCTATCATGAAAGAATGTTGAACTTTGTCAATGCTTTTTATGCATCAATTGAGATGATCATGTGGGCTTTTTCCTTTATTCTACTAATCTAATGTATTACACTGATTTTTATATTTTGAACCATACTTGAAGAACAGGAATAAATCCCACTTGGTCATGGTTTATAATCACCTTAATATGCTATGATTATTTTCAAAGAGATTTTAAAAATAAGGAAAAAAAAGATTTTTATGCTTGTTAATGTATTTACTGTTTCCAGTGTTATTCTCTCTTTTTTGTAGATCAAGGTTCCTATCTGGTATTTTCCTTGTGCCTGAAGAACTTCCCTTAACATTTTTTTTTTTTTTTAAAGATTTTGTTTTTCCTTTTTTTCCCCAAAGCTCCCTGGTACATAGTTGTATATTTTTAGTTGTGAGTCCTTCTAGTTGTGGCATGTGGGATGCCGCCTCAGCATGGCTTGATGAGTGGTGCCATGTCCACGCCCAGGATCCGAACTGGCAAAACCTTGGGCTGACAAAGTGGAGTGTGCAAACTTAACCACTCGGCCGTGGGGCTGGCCCCCCTTAACATTTCTCGCAGTGCAAGTCTGCTAGTGATGAATTCTTTCAGCTTTTGTATGTCCGAAAAAGTTTTTACTTTCTCTTCATTTTGCTGAGTATAGAATTCTAGGTTGATGGGGTTTTTTTCTTTCATTAAAGATATTGCTCCACTATGTTCTGGCTTGCGTTGTTTCTGACAAGTGTGTGTTGTTATTCTTATCTTTGGTCTTTTGTACATAACGGTCTTTTTTCTCCTGTGGCTACTTTTATGACTTTCTCTTTATTATTGGTTTTTGGCAGTTTAGTTATGATCTGCCCTGGTGTACTTTTATTCATGTTTCTTGTGCTTGGAGATCCTTCAGCTTGCTTGGATCGGTGGGTTCATAGTTTTCATCAAAAATTTTGGTTCATTTTTAAAAAATATTTTTCTGCTCTCTTTTTCTCCTCTTCCTCAGGGGCTCTAATTATATGTATATGAGTTTGCATGACATCCTCCCAGAGCTTACTAATAGTCTCTTCTTTTTTTTTTTTGGTCTGTTTTCTCTGTGTCATTCTGAATAACTTCTATTATCCTGTTTCAAATTCACTAATCTTTTATTCTGCCATATCTAATCTGTTGTTAATCCCATGCAGTGTGTTTTTTCATTTCAGCCATTGTTTTTACTCTGTACAACTTTGATTTGGATCTTTTTTGCATCCTCTGTGTCTCTCCTTAGCATGCTTATGTTTTTCTCATTCTTAGATATATGGCATATAGTTATAATAACTATTTTAATGTCCTTGTCTACTAATTCTATCACACAGCACATTTCTGGGTCTGTTTTTATTGATTTATTTTTCTTCTGATTTTGACTTGTAATTTTCTGTTTCTTTGCCTGCCTGGTAATTTTTTTATTGGATGCTACGCATTGTGAATTTTATCCTGTTGGGTCTTGGGTACTTTTGTATTCCTGTAATGATTCTTACACTTCGTTCTAGAACAAAGTTACTTGGAAGTTACTTGGAAACAGTTTGATTCTTTTAGTCTTACTTTTCAGACTTTTTAGATGGCACAAGAGCAGCATTCAGTCTAGTATTAATTTTTCCTTACTACCAAAAAAACTGCTCTGCCGAGTACTTACCCAAATGCTCCTTTGCATATAGAGTTTCTACACTTTGGCTTGTGAGAACATGAACTTCCCAGACCTATGTGTGGTTTCCTCCATTCCCCTTTGGTATTTTTTTCTGGCCTTGAATAGTTTTTTCACACATGTGTACATCCAGTTAAAGACTTGAAGGTGACCCTCTGCATGTTTCTGAAGCTCTCTGAAACTCTTCTTTGGTATTCTTTCCTGAAAACTCTGACTGCCTTGTCCTCAATTCAGAATTTCTGCTCTCTGTACCTTGAAACCTCTCTCCTGGCAATAAGCTGGAGCTTATGCCACCTGGTTCCTGTTGGTTATTTCCTCTTTCCTATGGTTCACTGTCCTGCCCTGCCTGTTGTCTAATGTCTGAAAACTATTGTTTTATGTATTTTCTTCGTGTGTTTTTGTTGTTGTTGTTTTTGTTATTGTTTCGAGCGAGAGAGTAAATATGGTCCCTTTCACTTATCTTACCTGGAAGTGAAAATCCCTCAAGCTTCCCCAAAAATCCTTGCTTCAAGCCTCTTTACCTGCTGTTTTCCATAAGTTGAATACCTCTACCCCTTCTCCCTCTGGCAAACTCTTATTCATCCTTTAATATTCAGCTTACACGTCATGTCTTTTCTTAAGTTTACCTATCCTTTCCTTTCCTCTGATGTTCATAGGACATTTTGAAAACCTCTGCCTTAATATTTATCATGGTGTATTGCAACATGTTTTCCTCCCATTGATCTGAGCTCTTCCAGGGTTGGTACCAAGTCTCTTTTCATCCTCTAATGTCCTCAGAGCTGACACTTATTAGATTCTCAGGAGTTTGTTGAATGAGTGAAAAGATAAGAGCAATGAGATATTCAGGTTACTCCATGGGCTGTTGAGCAACACTTCATTATCTTTGGAGATAGAAAAGAGAAGACTGGTTTTGCCCTGGTGGACCAAGGTGCAAGACATACTGAAACCTTGGTAATATGGTACAGTGAGGAATGACTAAATGGAGTAAAGAATGTGGGAAATGGACTCAACTACAAAGGCTGGTGATTGTTGAGACACCTTGGTAGAAACTGTTTCAGGCAACTAAGCAATCCAGGGTACAGTATCCAAACATCATAGATGCTGTGGAGCAGTTCACATAGGTAGGTCTCATGATCAAGGGCCCAACCTGCCTGGAAATGCGTGACAGCAGCAATGTTACTCACAGGGAAGCCCAATTCCGAGAATCCATTCACTTTGGCTGATATCCAGAACCCAGGTATGTGGGTGAGAGCTAAATGATGGGATCCAGCTGCTCAAGAAATGGGGCCAGATGTTGCTGGGGCAGGGCCTCGGGACTCTAACCAGGTGAGTGAAGCAATGGCAGGGCTTGACTAACACTGACCTTCCAGAGTGCCAAGGAAGAAGACCCATCACTCAGACTGGGCTCAGTGCTCAGGTAGGAAGCCAGAAGAGCGCACTGTAGACATTACTGCAATTCCCAGGGCTCAGCCTCACGCTTCCCAAATCTAGTGTGATAGGACAAGCCAGAGCCCCACCAAGAAGCAGGATCCAGGCTGCTGAGAAATGTCTGCCACAGTCAGGAAGTGAGATGGACCTGGCCTACAGGTGAAGGGCACCAGTGGTTCCAATTCTGAGGCCATTTTGTAATAAAATGACTAGAGAAGCATCTCCTATGTTGAACTTTTTCCATAGCGTTTGAGAGTGGTCTGCTTTTTGTTTTGTTTTTTATTTTATTTTTAAAAATGTTTGAACACGTTTAGATTTTCACCTGACTTCTTAATGTGAACCCATCAGAACATGGCCAATCAGGAACCTCTTTTGTTGTAGGTGTGCCCACTGCCTTGCCCCCCGCCCATCTGATCCCTTTGCTCGCTTCTGTCAAGAATGTGGCTCTCCTGTTCCAGCCATATTTGGCTGTCGTCTCCCACCCCCAGAAGGAGCTCAGGTGAGCAGTGGAATCTTTAAAAGCTTCTTTTGTTGGTTTATCTGAACTTTATTTGCAGCAGTAGCACAGTATATGGCATATATGAACCACAAGCCTAAATACTTATTGAAAAACTTACTGACAAACTAATCTCTTACTATCCAGACTCCTACTTAGGAATGGAAAAACTTGTTTGCAATGCAGTTTCTTTTATGTGGGCTTGCAGAAGCACAGGCTCAGAAAAAGACTGAAATCTTATTATTTCAATGATGCCTGCATGGATAAATACATATTTCCTACTCATATGGTATTTCTGTTCATAACCTGAGTACAATAAGGAAATATATTCTAGAACTATGGAGGGAAGTACTAAGTACAAGTCTATATATCCATGAGATACATCATCCTGTCCAAAGCTGCTGTTTGTTTACACTATAGATTGATCGGAATATCTAAATTGAAAAGCTTTGGCTGATTAAGTGTAGATAATAATTGATTTTATCCTACCACTAAATTTTGTAGTTAGTTAGAAAATATGCTTGACTTTGTAAAAACCAAAACCTTCATCAAAATGTGTTAACCTTTTGTACACTTGATACTTTGTTACATTTTTTTGGACTGGGGGGATAAAATAAAATAAAAGGATCTGTGATGTTGAATGAAAAATGATCATTTAAGAAAGATAGTCACTAAGAAAAAGTCAGTAATTCAGTGAGTTCAAAGTCAAGACTTTAGAATTGAGTTATACCTTCAAGCAAGAGGTCAGATACTAAATGGATATCTTTTAAAATTTTTCCTCCAATTTATGGCTCAAGATTGTTGTAGAAGTTAATTTAATTTACTTCTATGACATATTTTGAACTCCTTGAGGAAGATAATACAGCAAATAAAATATGAACAGGTCCCATTGGTTTGAATTTTCCCTGCTTATATTCACTGGTGCCATGTCTAAGTTATTTTTTCAGAAAACAGATTTTCAGAACTTTCTTTGTTTTTTCAGGGAGAAAAGGTTATCAGAGATTATAAACATTTAAAATAACGAACTTTGGAACATCTCTACTGCCTCAAAAATTATGTTTATTGATATGCTATAGTATATAAACAGCTTTACAATTTAAACTATTTATTAGTTATTGTATCTGCTCTCATCTGGGTTTCTGGGATTCTAAGGGATGGATCCTACTTGTAGACCCAAGACACTCGGAGTCTCATTAGAGAGATGCAGAGGTCTTGCCTCTGCTCCAGATCCATCCTTCATTGCCCTGCCTTGTGGTACTAGAGCTGGACTCAAACATTTCTCCTTTGCCAGCTGGCTTCATGTTAATTTTTGTCAGTAGAGGGACACTATAGGAGAATGGACTTGGCTTCTCTTTCTGATTCTGGTATGCTTTCCTGTCTTTTTGCTCTGATGGTGGTCAGCTAACCTGCAGGAACCTACTTGTGCAGGACCCCAGTGAATTTCAGTGGCATTCCATGAACAGCTTCTCAGTGAGTTCCACTGACACCCCAGCCAGATTCCAGATGGTCTCTCAGGCATCCCAGTGGGCAGTTTCCCCTCAAGTTTCACTAGCATCCCTGCATGTGGCTTCCCAGCACGTTCTGCCAGCTCCCCAGAAGGAGATTTCCTAATCAGTTTCATTGGACCCTAGTGGACAGCTTTTTGCTTGCCTGCTCTTGTTTGTGTCACCCCAGTGAACCTCTCTGCCAACCAGTAGGTGAAAGCCACACCCAATTCAATGAAGTCTGATTTCTGCCTTGGGGGCATAAGTGCCTCTTCTAAATTTGATACTTTTTGGGTTCTTTGCCTCAGCCTTAGAGGTAGTGGCTCCTCCCTCTATTGGATATTCTCGTAGTCTTTAGAGTTTGCTTTACCCATTAGATTTAATCCTCTGTTACAAGTTAATTACTTATATTAAACTTTCTCTGTTCAAATTACTGTGTGGTTTCTGTCTCCTGACTGGACTCTGACTGATACAGAATTGGTACCAGGAGTGGCCTCAGGAAATAGACCTGCAAAGATGAGATTCTGGAAGTGGTTTGATCCTTGCCTTTGCTCGAGAGCAGTGCTGAGCCCCTTGCCAATGGGAAACAGGATGCTGGTAATCCATAGCATGAAGTGGCATCACAATTAATCGAGCTATCCCATGTGGCTGATAGTGATGAAGTGCCAACCGAAGCAATGGTCTTGAGTGGCCAGGTGGCTGCTGCACTTGACTTTTATGGCAGTGATGATGCCTACAAGGACTGTGGAGTGGATGGATTCTCCTGAGCACATGTGAGCATTCACAGAAAGAAAATGACTAGCTCAGGACCTTTAAGTCATAGTTTGAGAACCAGAGAGCTCCCATGACAGCCCTAAAAGAATCTATGTCTTGTAGCTCCAGGGTTATACTGCTGAAATCAAACAAAATTTAATTGTATATGTTGATGAGTTACAACATCAGCTTGATTCACTTTATCACTATGTTTCTTATGTGAAACAGGGCATTGATTGCGAAAGAATGGGGTCCTGAAACTTGGAATGAAGATGTCAGGTTGGACCCAGATGAAGTTGACTATCTTGAACCCCTAAGTCGCACTGAGCCTCCTTGCCAGCAGATGTAGCTTGCCCTCCTGTCTGAGGATACTAGCCTTCCTTTGCTTGAAATCTCTGTGATAACCTCACTTGGGGCAGTGCCCTTGAAAGGGGAGGCTTATTCTCAAGACCCACCACAAACACCCTGTAGCATTACTGTGGTGGAATCCTAGCATTCTGTAGAGGGACAGGTGTACACTGTGATCCAGGAGAAAATAGCTTAGGTATGAAAAGAACACAATTTTACTAATATATATTGGCAGAATCTTGGGGAACAGCTGTGGGAGTGGATTTTAAGTGAAAGCAGAATGTAACACTAACTCGGGCCAAATTCATTGATATGCGTGCACCTTCTATAGATTCTGGATTTAATGTATTAGCTAATACAGCTGGAGGTGGTTCTAACAGCTTTTTTGGTTGGCTGACTAAAACTTGGACTCAATAGTGGCCAATGTTTAGTGAGATTGAGTTACCAGAGCTTCTCTGGCACCATGTGGAGGAAGAGGAATGTTGGAGTAGGTTTATCATGTGTGTTCTGTACCCCTGCCTCCTCCTCCCAGCTCTCACCTTTTCAGAAGGCTGAGAAGACACTTCCTTCACTGAGGCATTGAGGAATATGTCAGTGACAAGAGCACCTGCATCCTTGAAAAGTTCTGTGGCTGCTTTCCTTTGCAGGCTAGACATGATCAAGGGGTTGCTGCCATTGAGATGGGCTCCCTGATTTCAGTGGAGCTGATAGGATTCCAGAGTAGTAGAGGTCGAGTGGCAGCACTTAACTGCCAAAGACAAGGTGGGCACATCTACTGTAAAGGGCAGCAGCAACATATCAGTAATCAGAATCTGATCATGGTGTTCCTAGTAATGAAGTGGATGGGCAGCCTACTAGTGTATTACTTAGTATATTTAATTGAAAAAAATGCTGGGTCTTTTAGCTAAATACCTGACTTGAGTCACCATAATGGAGCATCCAAGACTGTTACTCAGTTTCCAGACCTAAGTCAATTCATAAACCCAGAGCTCCTTGGTTGAAGGGGAGACTGGGTCTCCCTGAGGATGAATCCTGCATCTTTGTAAGTACCTATCATAAATCTCCCTCGAAGCCTTTTCCAAAGGGACCTGTTGCCTTCACTATAATGACTGTGCATTGGGGAAAAGGAAATTCCCAAACCTTTGGGGGATTACTAGATACTGGCCCTGGATTGACACTAATTCTTCGAGATCCAAAACAGCACTGTGGTCCACCAGTAAAAGTTGGGGCTTAGAGGGCTCAGGTGATAGACTGAGTCTAACCTCAAGTCTGACTCATAGTTTTTGCTTCATGTATTCTGGGGATTTGTTGTTGTGTTCATATACATTTATAATTGCTATATCTTCCTGATTTATTGACCCTTTTATCATCATAAAATGTCTCTCTTTGTCTCTAGTAATATTTCTTGTCTTTTTTCTGATATTTATGTAGCCACTCCAGCTCTCTTATGGTTACTATTTGCATAATATAGCTCTTCCTTGACTTATGATGGGGTTCTGTCCTGATAAACTCATTGTAAGGTGAAAATATTATATGTTGAAAATTCAGTTTAGTACACCTAACATACTGAACATCATAGCTTAGTCTAGCTGATCTTGAATGTGCTCAGAACACTTACATTAGCCTGCAGTTGGGCAAAATCATCTAACAAAGCTTATTTTATAATAAAGTGTTGAATATCTTAGGTGATTTATTGAATACTCTGCTAAAAGTGGAAAACAGAATGGTTGTATGGGTATAAAATGGTTGTTAAGTGTATCAGTTGTTTATCCTTGTGATTACATGGCTGACTGGAGCTGCGGCTCACTGCCACTGCCCAGCATCGCTAGAGAGCATCATACTGCATACTGCTAGCCTGGGAAAAGATCAAAATTCAAAATTTGAAGTATGGTTTCTGTGCGTATTGCTTTCGCACCATCATAAAATTGAAAAATTGTAAGTTAGACCATCATAAGTTGGGGACCATCTGTATATCTTTTTCTATATTTTTACTTTCAACTTATGTCCTTGAATCTAGGGTGTGTCTCCAGTTGACATCATACAGTTGGGTCTTCTTTTTTGTCCAGTCTGATAGTATCTGCCTTTTGAATGTAGTGTTTAGTCTGTTAACATTTAATGTCATTATTGGTATAGTTGGATTTATATATGCTATTTTGCTGTTTACTTTCCATTTATCTTATGTTATCTTTGTTCCTCTTTTGCTGCTTTCTTGTTTATCAAATAAATAATTTTTACTGTGCCGTTTTAACTCCTGTGTTAACTTTTTTCTTTGCTATTTTTTAAAGTTATTTTCTGATGGTGCGCTAGGGATTACAATATGTACCTTAATTTATCACAGTTTATTTCAGAATAATTTAACTTAAATCCAATAAAATACAGAAATTTTCCTCCAATATATCCCCTTTTCCTTCCTATTTCTTTATCTTTTGTATATTGTCATACATGTTATAAACTAAAAATGCCATTTAAAGATGAGAAAAAAGTGTTTATGGAGTCATTCGTATTAACCCACATATTTATTATATCTGTTCTCTGATTTTTTTCATTTCTTTCCTGTGAACTCGGGTTATTATCTCGTGTCATGTATTTTCAGCCTGAAGGGCTTCCTTTAATAAAGGCATGTCTGCTGGCAATTTCTCTCTGTCTTTGTTTATCTGAGACTGTTTATTTTACCTTTACTTTTTGAAGGATAGTTTTACTGGGTATAGAATTCTTGTTGGACGGTTGTTTTTAGTTTCAGGCTTTTGAATGTGTCATTCTACTGCCTTCTGGCCACCATGGTTTTTGATGTAGGTTATAAGTAGTTTTTTTCTCTTGCTACTTTCAAGATTTTCTTTACCTTTGACATTTAACAGTTTGACTATAATTTGCCTAAGTGTGGATCTCTTTGTGCTTATCTTTTTTGGGATTGATTGAATTTATTGGATCTGTAGATTAATATTTTTCTCAAATGTGGAAAGTTTTTGGCCATTATTTATTCAAATTCTTTTTCTGCCCCTTCTCTCTCTGTTCCCTTTCTAGGACTCCCATTACTCCCATGCTTCTTGTTGCTCCACAGGTCTTTGATGGTCTGTTTATCTTCTTCAATCTTTTTTCTCTCTGTTCTTCAGTTTGGAAAATTTCTGTTGAACTATTTCAAGTTCACTGATTCTTCCTTCTGTCATCTCCAGTCTGCTGCTGAGTCCCTCTAGCAATTTTTTTTACATTTCAGTTATTTTACTTTTCAACTTGAGGTTTTGATTTGGTTCTTATTTTGTAATTTCTATATCTTTATTGAGATTCCCTATTTTTCAGATCATTGTTATCATACTTAAAAAAATTTTTAAACATAGTTTCCTATAGTTCTTTGAACACTTTTATAATAGCAGTTTTGAAATCTTTGTCTGCTAAATCCAACATCTGGACATAGTCAGAGACAATTTCTATTGACTGTGTTTTTCCTTTAGTATGGATTACTCTTTCTTGTTTTTTCATGTCCCATAATTTTTCCTTTAAATCTGGACATTTTACATAATATAACAACTCTGGATTCTGATTTTTCTACTAGAGTTGTTGTTGTTTTTTAATTTACTTGGATTAAATCTTTCATGTCTGTCTCCCTTGCAGTGTGTGGCCACTGATGTCAGGGTTTCTTTTCCTTGTTTTTATTTTTAAGCATAGCCTCACCCTTGGGTCTGCATACCTTAGTGATCAACTGCAGATTGGCCAGAAGTTGTGCTCAAACACCTTGATCCAGCAAGGCTTCCACTCTCTACTGATAGATCTATGTGTGGGCTGGGCAGAACATTTAAACTTCAGGCTGTTTTAAAGTCTGTCCCAGCTTTGACTTTATCCTGAGCTTTCTTTCATTTCCATGCGCAGTCTTCATCAGCCAATGGTGTGTGTGTGGCTTGGGCCCACTCTGGTTTATCCTGCACAAGCATATAGCCTCCAGTCAACTAAGGTTATATGGAGAGCTTATCAAGCCTCCTAGAGTTGACTTACCTCCTAGGAGTCCCAGTTAAATCCCTGGTTTGTTTGCTGTCCATTGATTGCCCCAGACAGGACCATGATCTCAAGTTAGTGGAGCCACTGCCCTCCCTGTTTGCTTGCCACTGAGATCATCACCTTTGCTGTGCTTCAAATCAAGTGAACCCTGCTCATCAGCAGCCACAAAGCTGCTTTGCCTTGCCCTGGTGGAGTTACCATACTGGTAGAGCTAGAGAAGGATGGGTGCAGCCCCATGTAAGAACCACACAGACTTGTAGTGTTCCTATCTGAAGTTCAGTACTTTTCAGTAACTTTATAGTTTCTTGTCTACCTTTGGTGACTTTCAGAGTCTGAAATGATTGTTTTTGACAGTTTTATCCAACTACGTAATTGCTTTTTGGAGAGATTTGCCAACTACCTCTCTCCATCATGCTGTAAGATATTTTTTCTTTTCTTTTACACACCCCTCTTTTCTACAATAAACATATTTTTACTCTTAATAGGAACAAATAAGAATAAAAGTAATTATTTTAAAAAGTTATTTTTAAAAGCCAATTAAACTTTACATTCTAAGACCTACTTATACCTTCAGTTTTTGCATTCCAAGACAAACCTGACCTCTTCCTTTGTGCAGATGGGCTTATGTGTAGAATGCGGAAGCATGGTGCCCATGAACACTCCCATCTGTGTGGTGTGTGAGGCCCCTCTTACTCTACAGCTGCAGCCACAGGCCAGCCTCCGCTTGAAGGTAATGAAATGTGATTCTGTAAAAACATGAATAAAACATGTAGAAAGTAATGTTTGAACAATTAAGTGTTTTCCTTCAGCTGGTGGAATTTGCTAACAACTGATAAACTCTAATATCTTTGAACAAAATCCACTCTAACTTTTGTGAAGGTATGCTACCCAAGGGTTTTAACTTGCCCGTAGGATCATAAAGTTAAGAGGGATACATAGAAATGTGTTCCCTGGACATGGATTTGGAGGACAAATTACGCTACACTAACTTAGACAGTTTTTTATTCATATATTTAAACTTGAACATTGCAATTAATATTGACTTTTAATCTTGTCCTTAAAGTGGCTTCAAGCTTTCATTTGCTTTATTTGGTTATGAGTCACTATTACATAGAAAAGAATTGTTATAAGTAGTCACATGGCTGAAAAAGTTAAGTATCATTGCATACATTCAAAAAAATTTGCTAGACAAATTATATCATATCATGAAACATTTTTTGGTGGAATCATTGAACATACAGCTGTATCTTTTCTCCATGTTTCAATTTAAAGTCCCATTTACTGCCTCTTTAATCTCAAGTAAAGATCATTAGCGGATAAAATAGATTTAATAAGGAGAATTTGGGGCATTAAAAAAGCAAAAATTTTTATCAATTAGGGGAATGTGTGCATTTAATGTACAATGAGAACTGTAGCACTCCTAAAATGACTTTGTGGATTCTATAGGGGCAGAATGTATCGAAGTTTAACGAGAGAAAAGATAAGTTCACTTTTCCTTCCATCCCCAAGCTCCCCTTCATTGTGAAAGGTTCTAAAGTGTCCCAGGTATGTAAGCCCTCAGAAATGAGATTTTGAAGATTTGGCCTGGCCAAAGTCAAGTAGATGAAAGTTTACTAATCTTTTGTTGGATAACTATTTTCAATCTTAAGAAACTTTAAAAGTGACTGCAGGAAGCCACCACATAGCCTTGGAACCTTGTCTCCAGACTTTTCCACACATGTGTACATCATGTTGAAGACTTGAGGGTGATCCTCTGCAAGTTTCTGAAGCTCTGTGCAGGGGCAAGAAATTTGTTTCACTTCTCAGTGGGTTTCACCAGATCTTTTCTGAGGGAACATCTTCAGGAGGTTGAAGCCCTAAATCTCAGAAAAGCTCCGACGATTGTAGAAGGCAGGAACCAGGGAGTGTCACCCACTGAGAGCAAGCCTGTGATTCTCTGCCATTTTGAGTAGCAGTCAGCCAGCCTATGCACTTTAGGAATTCTCTGGGTTGGGACCTGTGGTTTCCTGAGTTGGCTCAAGTTCCTAGGAAGACCGTGGAGTCTTCTATTAGAGTGGAGTTAACCAGCCTTAGAAAGGCCGGGAACTTCATAGCCTACCTAGTGGCATTGGAACTAAAACCCCTGGAGTTGAGCTTTCTTTTTCCTGATCATCCTCTTTACCTGTTCTGGCTCCAGAACACACTTTCTCAGTTTCAGGACACCTGAGGAACACAGGTACTGGAGTAGAAAGGAACATTTGAGTGTCGCTGGTCATTGACAATTGAAGGAGATAGTATCCTGATAGTGCAGAAGTGTCCAGTACTAAACAGATGGTAGCAAACCTCTGATAGCTAAATTTTGGTTAGACTGTTTTCACCATCATTTCTTTTTCTCTTGCATTTTGTGTGTGTGTGTGTGTGTTGCAACTTATCCCAGGGTCCTGACTTGGCAAGTTGCGCTTACTGTTTATTTTCTAAGACAGTCTTTCCGCTTTTCCATTTCTAAGTGAGAAACTACAGAGCAATCTTAAATTCATATTTAATATAAAGCCCCATGGGGCAAACCCCAGTCCAAGAACTAGTTACTTGTAAACACCAAGGTTTTGCTTAAAGGTCCACCACCTTTCTGTTTACTGTTCAAGTCAGGAGATGGAGAGCCTTCTGACTAATTACGTTTTCCAAACTGAAAAAAATAATAACTCACACATAATGAGTGCAAAATACCCAGTGAAGACTGTTTTTCAGTTTGTTAATTTGGGGTTTTGTTTCTTTTAAAATTATGTTTATTTGTCTGACTCTGTTTATGTTGTCGTAATTCCTAAACCAATCCAGTATCAGGGGCTGGTTGTTGAAATAGGGTTCACTGCTGGCTGAATAACTGAGAAGACTGCCTGGTGATTTCTCTGCAGTGTTCGCTCAGAGGAACATGTAAGTCTTCTTCTCTGTTTTCAAGGAGAAAGTGATTTGCCGCACCTGTGGCACAGGGAATCCCGCTCACCTGAAATACTGTGTCACCTGTGAGGGGGCCTTGCCTTCATCACAAGAGGTAGGTTGAATACATGTGCCAGCCCTATATTTAGTGGCTGCTAAATGTTCAATGTTAATGATAATGAATAATGATAATGAATAAATATACTCATCAGAGTGGGAGCGGGGAGAGAGACAAAAAAACTTCTCGAGGTAAACTGAAAGCAACATTCCTAAATATGGAGAGGTCTTTATATGTTCACCAATACAAAACTGTTTTCAAAGTCCTAACTTCCAGGAGATTCAATAAAATTGGCAATTTCTTACGATTTCATTTAGTAACTTTGCATGGAAGGTTGGCAGCAGCCAGCTGGGAAGTGGACCCATTCATATTTCATTCGCAGTCAGGTATGTCATTATTGACTGTGCTATGCTGTTTTTTGAAATTGAGAACATGGTGGACACCCATTTCTTGGGTTTCCTGCCAGCCTATTTTGAGTATTTAAAATGAAGGAATAGGGGCAGGCCCCGTGGCTGAGTGGTTAAGTTCATGTGCTCCACTTCAGCAGCCCAGGGATTTGCCAGTTTGGATCCTGGGCGCAGACCTGGCACCGCTCATCAGGCCATGCTGGGGCGGCATCCCACATAGCACAGCGAGAGGCACTCACAACCAGAATATACAACTATGTACTGGGGGGCTTTGGGGAGAAGAAGCCAAAAAAAAAAAAAAAAGGATTGGCGACAGATGTTATTGCACGTGCCAATCTTTAATAAATAAATTAATAAAATGAAGGAATTAGAGGCATGTGCAACTTAAATACAGTGAGTGGGTTCAGTTTAGATGATCTATTGTATGTTTATAAAATGTTTCTAATGATGAGAGACTTTAGAAATTATTTCCAGGTGACTCTTGCTCTGGCCTAACAAAAGAAATTGGCATTTACTAGCCAACTTAGAAGAACAAAAATTTATTTATAAATATATAAATTTTATATATAATTTTGTATATCTATATCTATATCTGATTGTTTAGAGTATTTGTTCTCATCTCAGAGAGATTCCTTGGGAAATGGGACAAATGTGATGGTTCGTGTCGTCAATGTGGTTAGGATCAAATGGATGGGAGTGAGCTGGTTCCTGGGGTTACTGAAACAAAGTGCCACAAACTGAGCAGCTTAAAACAACAGAAATTTATCGTCTCACAGTTCTGGAGGCCAGAAGTCCAAAATCAAGGTGTTGGCAGGGCCTGTTCCCTGTGAAGGATCTGTTCCATGCCTCTTTCCTACCTGCTGGTGGCCTCGAGCTTCCCCTGGCTTATAGATGTGTCACTTCAGTCACATGGCTGCCTTCTCCCTGTGTGTCTGTCTCTGTGTCCAGATTTCCCTTTTATATAAGGACACCAGTCATATTGGATTAGGGCCTACCCTTATAATAATTACCTCGTTTTAATTTGATTACCTCTGTAAAGATTCTGTTTCCAAATACGGTCACATTCTGAGGTATACTGGGTGTTAGGACTCCAACACATCTTTTTGGAGAACACAATTCACCCCATAACAAGGGAGTTGGACAAGATACCTTTTAAGGTTGTATCTAATTACTGACAATCTAAGACTAGTTGATTTGAAGGAACTCTTTTTGTTCCAAGCTTTATTGAGGTATAATTTATATGCAATAAAACTCACTTATTTTAATTTTACAGTTTAATGAATGTTGGTAAATATATAGTCATTTTAACCACCACCACAATGAAGACGGAGAACAGTTCCATTACCCTGAAATTTTCTCTTGCCCCTTCACGGTTGAACTCCTCCCATGATCGTTAGCCCCAGAAAATACTGATCTCTTTGACACTGTGGTTTTCGCTTTTTACAGAAGGGTCTAGTTTTTGTGTGTTTGATTTCCTGCACTTAGAATAGTGTTTTTGAGGTTCATTCAAGTTGTTGCATGTATCCATATTTTTTTCCATTTTGATCATTGAGTAGCATTCTACAGTATGGATATACCACAACTGATTGATCCATCCACCAGTTAACGGGCACTTGAGTCATTTCCACTTTGAGGATATTATGAATAATGCTGCTGTGAACATTCACTTACGAGTCTTTATGTGGATGCAGTTTTTATTTCTCTTGGGTAAATACCTAGGAGTAGGATTACTGGGTCCTATCTAAGCTCATATTTAATTTTATAAAGATATTGCCGTACTGTTTTCCAAAATGGCTGTACTGTTTTGCATTCCTATCAGCAATATGTGAAGGTTCCTGTTTCTCTGCATCATCACCAATACTTGGTATCAGGCATTTTATTAATGATATTCCCTTTTTGCCATTTTAATGTCTGTAGGATCTGTGGTGATATCCCTCGTTCGTTCCTGATGTCTGTAATTTGTGTTGTCTCTCTCTCCCTCTTTCCAGCTAGAGACTTAAAAATGTTACTGATTTTTTTCAAAGACTAGCTTCTGGTTCATTAATTTTCTCTAGTTTGTATTTCCTTTTTAAAAATTTTGATCTTTATTATTTCCTTCTCTTTGCTTTGGGTTCAACTTGATATGCTTTTTCTAATTTCTTAAGCTGAGAACTCATATCATTGATTTTAAATTTTTCTTCTTTCTAACATAAATTTATCTCTAAGAACTTCTTTAGCAACATCCCACAAATTTATATAGGTTGTATTTTCATTATAATTCAGTTCAAAACATTTTCTAATTTCTCTTGTGATTTCTTATTTGACCTATAATTTATCTATAAGTTGGTTAATTTCCAAATATATGAAGTTTCTCTAGTTATCTTATTGTTAGTGATTTATAATTTACTTCCATTATGATCAGAAAACATACTCTTTATACTTCAGTTATTTTAAATTAATGAGACTTGTTTTTTGGCCAGTACATAGTCTAACCTAGAGAATATACCAGGTGCACTTGAAAGAATGTGTTTTCTGTCATTGTGGGTACAGTATTCTATAAATATCAATTAATTCAAAATGGAATGTTGCGCAGATCTTGTATTTCCTTGCTGAACTTTGTCTAATTGTTCTAGCAAATGCTGAGAAAATGGTATTAAAACCTCCAATGATGATTCTGGAATTATTTGTCTCCAGGTGTTTTTTTAATTTCTTCTTTGATTTCTTCATTGACCCAGTGTTCAGTAGCATTTTGTTTAAGTCCTTAGAATTCTTTTAAATTTTTTTATAATTAAAAAATGCTTTTTGAGTTCATAATAGTTTACACCATTGTGAAATTTCAGTTGTACATTATTTCTTGTCTGTCACCACGTAAGTGCTCTCCTTCACCCCCTGTGCCTTTCCCATACCCCCCTTCCCCTGGTAACCACTGAACTGTTTTCTTTGTCCATGTAGTTGTTCATATTCCACATATGAATGAAATCATCTGGTGTTTGTCTTTCTCAGTCTGGCTTATTTCACTAAGCGTAGTTCCCTCCAGGTCCATCCATGTTGTTGCAAATGGGATGAATTTGTCTCTTTTATGGCTGAGTAGTATTCTATTGTATATATACCACATCTTTTTTATCCAATCATCAGTCAATGGGCACTTGGATTGTTTCCATGTCTTGGCTATTGTGAATAGTGCTGCAATGAATGTAGGGGTACCTGTGTTACATTGGATTGTTGATTTCAAGTTGTTTGGGTAGTCACCCAGTAGTGTGATAGCTGGGTCCTATGGTATTTCTATTTTTAGTTTTTGAGGAATCTCCATACTATTTTCCATAGTGGCTGCACCAGTTTGCACTCCCACCAGCAGGGGGAGGGTTCCCTTCTCTCCACACCCTCTCCAACATTTGTTATTTTTAGTCTTAGTGATTATAGCCATTTTAACAAGTGTAAGGTGGTATCTTAGTGTAGTTTTGATTTGCATTTCCCTGATGATTAGTGATGTTGAACATCTTTTCATGTGCTTATTGACCATCTGTATATCTTCTTTGAAAAAATGTTCATATCCTCTGCCTGTTTTTTGATCGGGCTGTTAGTTTTTTTGTTGTTCAGTTGTGTGAGTTCCTTATATGTTATGGAGATTAACCCCTTGTTGGATATATGATCTGCAAATATTTTCTCCCAATTGGTGGATTGTCTTTTGTTTTTGATCCTAGCTTCTTTTGCCTTGCAGAAGCTCTTTAGTCTGATGAAGTCCCACTTGTTTATTTTTTCTTTTGTTTCCCTTGTCTGAGAAGACATGGTGTTTGAAAAGATCCTTTTAAGTTCAATGTCAAAGAGTGTACTATGTATATTATCTTCCAAGAGTTTTACGGTTTCAGGACTTATCTTCAAGTCTTTCATCCATTTTTAGTTTATTTTTGTGTATGGTATAAGATAATGATCTACTTTCATTCTTTTTCATGTGACTGTCCAGTTTTCCCAACACCATTTATTGAAGAGACTATCTTTTCTCCATTGTGTGTTCTTGGCACTTTTGTCAAAGATTAGCTGTCCGTAGATGTGTGGTTTTATTTCTGGGCTTTCAGTTCTGTTCCATTGATCTGTGTGCCTGTTTTTGTACCAGTACCATGCCGTTTTGATCACTATGGGTTGTAGTACATTTAGAAGTCAGGGATTGTGATGCCTCCACCTTTGTTCTTTTTTCTCAGGATTGCTTTAGCGATTCGGGGTCTTTGGTTGCCCCATATGAATTTTAGGACTCTTTGTTCTATTTCCGTGAAGAATGTGATTGGGATTCTGATAGGGATTGCATTGAATCTGTAGATTGCTTTGGGTGGTATGGACATTTTAACTATGTTTATTCTTCCAATCCATGTTCATGGAATCTCTTTATGGCGTCATCTATTTCTTTCAATGTTTTATAATTTTCATTGTATAAGTCCTTCACCTCCTTGGTTAAATTTATTCCTTAGGTACTTTATCCTTTTTGTAGTGATTGTAAATGGAATTGTATTCTTGAGTTCTCTTTCTGTAAGTTCATTATTACTGTGTAGAAATGCAACTGACTTTTGTAGGTTGATTTTGTACCCTGCAACTTTACTATAGTTGTCAATTATTTCTAATAGTTTTCTGGTGGATTCTTTAGGGTTTTCTATAATGTTGTCTGCAAACAGTGAGAGTTTC